CTTCCCGACAGCGCACACCGGACTGCACAGCTAGAGGAGAATAGTGACGGAACGAACTTGCCGCCAGGGATCGGCTTGTATTCCGAAGTACAGCTCGAATGCAGCATTGCGTGACATGTTCGAGCGCTCTCATCATCTCATCATCATTGTCGATCTTCTTTATGTGTAAGACGACAGGTGTCCAAAGAGCGCATGACACGAAGTCTTGATCAAACACGGATTTTGCAAATCCGTTGTTTCGGAACCTTCCTTCGAATGCCGAGCAGTAGCACGAGACTGACTTACCCCGTCACGAAAGTCGAGGCAACAATCTTCCTTGCCAGATGCTACAGACATCTTGGGCCGATGTGAAGGCTCGACTTCTGCCGTTCGGCGTATGACTCTCGACGGCGCAGATAGAACAAATGTGCCACACCTTGCATGTTGGTGAGAAGTGCGTAGGACAACGAATAGGACAAAACCAGGGGGCGAGTCCGACATTCGCCAATCGGAGACTGGAGTGCAACGCCACCTAAACCTTAACATCTTCTGGCTTGAGGCCCCCTAATGTCGGATTGCTCCGACTCCCTTCTCCCATCTCTGATCTAGAGCCGGTTGACTCCGACGGAAAGCACGCGAAATAGCTTTCTCTCGAGCGGGTTGCGCGGCGTGCATGTTCGAGTGTGCGTTGTAGCTCGAGGTCGGCTGGGCAAGCCCTGGTTTCTCTAACAAACGGCCTCACTCGCCCAGAGAGATCTGCGGGCTTGCTTTGACCTTGTTATGACCCTTTCTGCCTCGTACCTTTCTTGAGCTCCCTTCACTTTCTCTTGTAAGTTCGCAAGGAGGCTCTCCCGGTCCAACAAGCTAACACGAGCTTGCAACACGCAACAGAGCCGGCATCCAGACGGACCCGGACATTTTCTTCCGGTGCCAGCAAAGCACTTAAAGTACGCCGTCCTACGTAGACATGTAGCCATAGAATGCCACCCTTTCGTATCTGTTTTTCCCAGCCTGTTTTGGATCACAAACGTATAGGGCATCAGGTCGGGGACAAATTCGTACAGCTTTCGCTTGTCTTCCAGCCAGATTCGTCCTTTGATGTGCATGGCAATACGGCTGAAATAAGTCTCATCCGTAAAGTCCACGGCTTTCTTCCCCAAAGGGCAATGACTGACCTGTCCATTTCGATCTTCGAACCATTTTTCGCTGGGGTATATTCTCCAGTTCGGCCTCTTCAACAAATATCTGCAGAAACGCTGTCCGTGACCGCCCACGCGGCAGTCAGAGCCTTGGCTGCACAACGATGTCAAAATGGAGGCAAGTAGACACTCCTAGGGCCTAGTCCCAGTCTCTACAACTTCCGCTGACCTTGCCATGCAGCAATAGAAAAGCTTCCTGCAGGGTATCAAGTGGGCTATCTGATTCCGTCTGTCCCTGCAACTGCTTCTCTTCTTTGAATGTGTGCACTTGGTGTTGCTCCTGTTGCTTCCCACTTCCGCTCGGCCAGTCCCGTATGGACCTGCCAGAGGTGGGCCGCCCTCGTTGATCACGTCTTCGATGGCCTCCCGTAAGGAGATCATCTCCTTAGCCGGCGTGCCAGCATACCAGGGTCGAACTGCACAGCAGGACGGAGTGCCCCTGCATGAGAAGAAACCATGTCCGAGCGGCAGCATTGCTTTTCTTGATTTCCTGTGGGTGCTTTGAATGCAACATCATGCAACTACTACACAAGCCCATGAGCATTCTCCAGAGACGAGTCTTGCCAGCATTTCCCTGGCCCCTGCATGCAAGTCCAAACAGCTAGAAGTTGTCAGTCCTCTTCCATTGCTTGCGTTTTCCTTGGTCTGCCACATGCGGTCTTCTTGCAGACTCGCTCAGGTGTCAAGAGCAAGACCTCTAGGCTGAGGGGGTCTTGACCAACCACCAGAAACGACGACCTCCGTGCCTAGCATGTTTGGAGTCCGGCTCCTTTCGTTCTGGCATCTTGCTGGCCCGAGTGGTACACGTCCGCAGAAGTTCCGACGTTTAACAAACCCCCAAACGGCAGCTGCACCATGAGCAAAGTCATCTTCGGAAGCTGGCGCACCGCGCTCCAAGAGCCGAATATTGTGGCCAGGCGAAGATGTAATATCCCACAGTGTTGAGACATCGACCAAGACTTTCTCTGTTTGTATTGGCTTTCACGGACATTGCAGTCGAAGGCGATACGCCCGCTTCACTTACCCTAAGCTCTGGTTGTCGTGGTGCACCAACCCAACCTATTTGCTGTCAATGCTCTCGCAGCGTGCAATTTCTTGCGCAAGCCAAGGAAACTTGGAACCGTCACACTCCAGTTTTGACTCTTTCGGATCTTTGAAGGATCGGTTACGGATCTCTGCTTCGCTGGTGCCCAAAAATTTTGAGAATCCGGCCCGGAACTGCTCCAGAACGAATGGGACTTAAGTTTAGGAAGTTTGAGGGTTCTGGACCCCAAAGACTTCATTTTGGCTAGTTTTGTGTGTTTCTGCGGCTAGGCACCCAGCCATGAGTTTTGTGCGTGGAAAGACACGTATCTTGTTGCAAACTGAATGATTCGCAGGGATGTTTGATCTTGGGTTTTTGGGCACGCAAAGGTGATTGTGGTGACCCATTTTCTTCTCTGCAGCTGGACCCCTTAAACGCTTCGGGAGGTCGCCTATTTCCCTTGCACCTGATCTCGTGCTGCTGTCGAGACAGTCACTGGGCGTAAGCCTCCTCAAGTTAGGATGTGCTATGTTTTGCAGGGCTTTTGGGCTTGATATCCAAGTCGCATTGCCTTCGGAGTAAGCCTGACTGCCATGACTGCCACCATTCAAGGTTTCCGTTCTGTATCAGCGGTCCTCACTCTCTCGAAAGGCGAGGCCTTCTGTACTGGAAGAACTGTACTGGAAGAACTCATCACACATGCCAATGATAAATGCATGGTTCGGTGTCGTTGGCGAAATGGTGGTTGAATGCTGTAGAACGATTCAGTGCAGGTCACCTCCGGCAAAGGCCTGACCGTGCTCCTAAGCATCCGTTTTGGAGTATCGCTCGCCTGCTGTAGACAAGGTGCTCCTCGGAATGTCTTGCTGTGATGGACTGTAGCTTCAAAGCCAGGCGGAGTCGCTGTGTAGCCTGGCGCACCTGTGCTCTACATGAACCCATATGAACCCTACATGATCGGCAAAGAGACTTGGCTTACCAGTCTCTACTCGCTCACCTCCAGCAAAGACTCGCTGGCCGTCGAAGGTTCAGCCTGCGAAACATGTTGGTGCACTCAATCACAACTCTCCTTCGACTCGGACAGCAGAGCCTTCTCTGCTGCTTTGGCTACGTCTTCCTTGGGTGGGGAATGAGTTTACGATGCAATAAGGTCGACGGAGGCTGCGACCTGTTGCTTGCAAGGCGCCGCATGTAGCCTGCAGAATTGGCCCCTCAGTTTCTTGACGGCAACATGGCTTTGGCCAAGCGTAGATTGGAGCTCGTGCCTTGGCCATGGCTTTGTCATGGCTCTGTCTCTCGCATGACACCGAATTCAAACGGCAAACATCGACATTCGGTACAGAATAGCATCTTCTTGACCCTGAGCCGGAAGGGACACGTGGCATAAGTTTTGTTGTAACCACGCAGAAGTCCGGACCGACACCAACCTACGCAACGACCCAACGATCTCACGTGCAGGTGCCCAGCCGAGTCAAAGGTCGAACGGTGCGACTCAATCTCCGCTAAAAAAACGAAAGCTCGGAGACCTGTGCAGCGCGTGCGTTTGGCTCCGTCTAGCTTCTTTTTCTTTTGGGTTTTCGCCTCCGAGAAGACCATACTCTCCTCGTCGAAAACTCGCTCATCTTCTGCTCGGCTCAGGGATCACTTGTCTCATGCCGTCAACCTTTAAGCTGACAGTCTTGTCTTCTGATGACAGCCGACGGCATGCGGTCGAGTCCATTGGAGCTATGAAATCTGCACTGAACTGCAGAAGATGTGTGGTCACAAATTTCCTGCTTGAAGTGGACAGAAGCAGCTCCAACGCGTCGTTAAGAAATAGAGCTTCCTTTCATTGAGAATTCTGACACGGAGAAGGGTGTGACATCCGAAAGCTCACACGACGATGGGCACAGCATTAAGATATTGAAGACGTGTAACGACGACCGAAGCCTTGCCGGACAAGTGAGCATGAAGGTACCTTCAAATCTCTTTGTCGTAAGTCTGTCTCCAAGACCAGCGCATACAGGCGGCAGCAGAACAGGAGAATGAAAGCAAAAACGTCTGTGGAGGCCCACAACGACACGGTCCATAACTAGTGGCTGGGTTTGAGTAGAGCAAGATGTTGCACTCAATGAAATCAAGGGGCTGGCGCATCAAACATTGGAACTGCTCCAAAGACTCTTCGATGCCCCAAGCACGCTCGTGTTTTATGCTTCCTGAGCTGCAGCCAAAGCAAAATCAAGGTCCCAAACGGACCTTCTGAGGACAAGCCCAAGTCGCCTTGCATGGGGGGCAAGCAAAGCAGAAGTTGTCGGCATCTCTGCCACGCCTCCTGCGCTGATTAGTCCGCATTCTGCTGACTAGTGATGCACTCTGGTGCACCGTACGTGTGCAAGGAGATCATTGTCATGATTATCCTCAATCTTATCACTCGCTGGTGCTGCTCCAAGCTCTTCTGGTGAGCTTGCTGCCGGTGGGCTCCCTCCGCTGTAGCCATTAAATGCGTGCTCCGTAGGAGCCATGTGGCTTGGGTGGCAGCACGTCAGGTGTCAAGTGCATCGCGTCAGGTGGTTGTTGAGTGCTCGGTGCAGGTCCAATGCCGTGTTCTAGTGTTCCAGCAATGAACAGCGGCACTTTATGACTGCTTCTCTATCGTTTTCCATTTGTCATGTTCAGTGATGCTTGAGGAAACGCGAGGGCGTGAAGGACTGCTTGTCTGCATGGTCGATGGCTATCAAGCGGCGGAGTGACAATGAATTGAGCGAACGAGCTTTGTATTTCTCCTCGTCTTGGCAGGCAGGTGCTGGCGCAGGAACACCTCAGCCAGTGGCCTGTTGATTTGGCACGTCCGCGGACGTGTTCCGCCACATGTAGATGAAGAATGTGCCGTAAACGGCCGCAAGCACCTGGCAGAGTCTTTGCGGAAGAATGAGCAGAAACAAAACAACTTGTCTGCGTAAACGAAGGCACAACTCCCCAGAATGGACTTCGCACATGCAGGTCCACCACGCTGAACACCGCTTGTGTGGCCACCTGGTTTCGTCGCGCCCCGGAAAATCGTTGAACTGCTAAACATGTTGGGGCTCGTCTGAAACTACTGGCGAACCTTTGTTTGTTTTGGCATTTTACGGGGTGCATTCCGGGCAAGGAAAGAGTGTCACCACCGGAAGCAGTTACGAGCCAGTGGAATGTTCGGTCTCTATGACTACCTTGTTATCACATAGTGACTGCAGGCTACATGTGGACATGCATGCTCTCCGAGTCTGACATGACAAGACACAGCTGCAAGCGAAAGCCCATCTCAGCTCCCCGCGACGAGCAGCGTCGAGACCGTGCATGCCTCAGCCCACGTCTGCTACCCACTCCGTGCAAAAGAGATTGGCCTCGTGAGGGCAGCACCAGCAGTGGATGACTGATGTCCGAAGGCCAGCCGTTTGCAAACAGTGTTATTTGCGGATGTCTCCATGTGACAGTCATCAGCGCGGTGCTGAAACCCACCTTGGTGGAAAGACATGGCACTTATGTCGAGCCTTTGATGCGCTCAAGTGCTGCACACACGCACTCACAACATGGGCTCTGTTGAACGTGCGACAGTCACTAGTAGGAAAGTGCTTGATCAGTGGTGGGCTTCAGGCTCAGCTGACAGTTGGGGAAGTGCTGCTTCAACAAATGCTGGAGTGAGGTTTTAGTTAGAGGTCAACTTCTCAAAGGAGTCTCAATCGGGATTGGATGCTGACGAGGTACAGCAGTATTGAAGAATTGCCCTGCGACAAGTCCTTGGTTGTGCGATTCCATCGACAACGGGACCTATGGGCTCCATGCCTACCTCCAAGACTGTTTCAGGCTTCATGCATGAAAGGGCGCCATTGAAGGCGAGTGAAAACTCTCCCATAAGCGCAATGGAGTAAGCCGCCACTAGGTCGCCAGCGCAATTACCTCTCACACGGAACAAAGTTGAGACCCCAGGACGGAATGACAAAGAAGACTGATCTCCGATATTCTCTGATGCTCCGATACATTAGCCTTGGTTTTTGTATGCAGCTCGGGCACCCCAAGCAAGGAGCGTAAATCCCGACCGTAGTCTTGAAATCTCGTAGAAACGGCACAGAGCCTCAAGGGAGGCCGTGATCTCCTGAAGCAGAAGACAAGTGCATACCATATTCTGTAGCGCTATGGTGTATCATCTTTCGTGCAAGCCCCCACAGAATATGGGCTGCCAATGCGTCTTTGGTGGCTCGTGGGGTGTGAGTTGAACTAAAGATAATTGAAGCACAGAGTCATTTGAGAGCGCGGAAAGCCAAAGCATTGAGGACACCTCGTGGGGCATCATCGTCTGAATTGTGCACTCGTGATACGTCGCGAATGACAGCGTTTCACATGGCGTCGCGCCGTTTGCTGCCATGCCACCAGAGCGAGCAACGTCATCCCGTTATAGAACCATGGCAGTGGACGTCCTAAAATCTTTGCCGAAGATGAGGTCCCGCCCGTCAGAAAGATCAACACCTTCATCTGTAGAACATCTGCCGCGTGAGCTGGAGTAAAATCGATCCGACAGCATGGGATTTACGCTGGCAGCTCAGACCGCAACTGTCGTAACTGCGAGGGCTACCGCAGTGACCACCTCAGAGGCATGTGATCCTTGATGTGATTCCTTATATGGGCAAACACACTATATACGTCTCAGACAAGTGTCCCCAGCATTGAAGTCCGGTGCTGCAATGTAGCCCAAGAGCCGGCACAGCAGATATAGTCCTGTTCAAGGAAGCTGCTCCGGAATCGAATTGGAATCGTTGGAGTCCGGCACGGCCTGTTGGACACATAGTGTGGAAAACCCGCCGGGGTGTATCCCAGCGCAAGTCGCACGGAGGAATGGTCACCATGCGCATTAACTTGGTGGGACAGTCGTTCGTGGGATGTCAGGCAGCAACCGACTCAGCAAGTGTTGTCAATACCTGCTTGGGAGCCGGCCGTAAACGGCAGAAGCCTCGCTGCGCCAAGTGTCAGACAACTTCTTCACAGCGCGACAAGTGCCAAAGCATGACGGAATGCCAAGCAGCAAAGCCCAGGCTATTGATCCTCGCCAAGAATCCGAATCTGGTGGACCTGTGTTGCTTTTTGACTGACAGGCTTGCGGAACTGAACATCATTTGCAGCTGCAAATCTTCTCTGGAGCTTGGTCACTCAGGCAGGCCATTGCATCCTCGATCGCTATGTCGGTGGAGCCTCAGTGCCGATGTGTCTACATTCTTGTGTTCGATTGGCTTTCCCTCCGGCAGCAAGTTCGCACATTTCAATTCAGTGGCTGTTCCTTCGGCGATCCCTTGGTTGAATGCTGTGTCAGGATGGGGAGCTGTGCACAAACACGTGCCACAAAGCATCGATCTGCTCATTCCGTGCGCATCTTCGGCTTCCTGCTCAAGCAAGTCGTTTGCTATGACTTCAACATGGGAACTTGCATGATCTTTCCCAGCCTCCACTTTGTTTCGCACAAGCAAATACAGCAAAAATGCCTTGGCTTCACTTCGGCAGCGAGGACTTCGTGCAGTCTGATTGCATCCAGGAAACGCCGTACAGAGCTGTGAGAGCACAGAAATGCCAAAAGTTGGCAGTAGCCTTCTGGAGGCTGAATGCCAGCAATACCTCGGAGCCGACCCTGAATTATTTCCAAAAGCAAAACTGTCTTAAGACTGTCCTGGTGACCTACTTCTCGCTGCGTGAATAGCCGTTTTGATCACATTGCGCTGCTCCACCGGCAAACCTTTCACTCCGGAGCGTCTTGAGCAGTCTTTTCACTTTCTGGCCCTTGCCGTGCAGGCTGTGTTGGAAAGCAAGCCGTTCTGGAGTGGCTAGATGGTCCTCGATCTGAAAGGACATGGGAAAGCCCTACAGCCTGCTTGGCAGCTGGAAGGCTCTTAGGTTCCACGCCACCCCCAAGTGATAGTTCAAGAAAGACTCCTACACATAAACGCCAGCATTTAGCGGGTGTTTCTGGGCAAGCATTGCTCCTAGAGGGACTGATAGTGAGCAAAGTCTGAACCTCGAAATGAGACATCATGAGCGGAAAGCACTCAGCGCGTGAACACTGCAAGGATAGTATGAAAGCCCTAGACCGCCAATTAGTCGCCGCTGCGGCGTTCTCAAGCTAACATTCCGTCAGCTACCGTGCCCGAGACGACAGTCGGCATTGTTCACCACACAGCGGGTGCACTGAAACATGCAGTTCCTCAGCTCGCTGCAATGGCACTGCCATAGAAAGCTAGCAGCACCAGGTAGTGTCCTGATCACGCGGCTTGCAGGCTGTAATTGGTCTGATCAGCGCCTGCAGGCATCTGATGTGACCTGATTATTGGCACTTGCAACTGTCAACGATTGCAGATCCAGCTTTGCATTATCCATCCAGGTACATGAAAATCTTCTCGAACAGCGACAAAAACTGGACCCCTCCCTGCAAACACGAAGCGACAAAGATCTTCTTGGTATCTATTGCAAGGGTTCGTCAACTGCGAGCAACCAGCTTGCCTGGATGTTGCAATACCACGGACTTCGAATCTGGATCCGCCATGTAGGCGACGAGCAAGCAAATGCAGTTGCCAAGGCTCATGCAGCCTCGATACCCAGGTATACTAGCAGTAGTGACTCGTAGGAACGCAATGCTAATGTCACCAAAGTCTCCACCATTTTCCATTCACAGCAAGTCGCAGAGATTGGCACCACCCAGATCACTCAAACCCAGCGGCAGGTCTTGCAGTTGTGCAGCAGCCACAGCCTGAAAGCTCTGCGACTAGGCTGCTTCTCAGTTGAAAATAGCCAGACACCAAGGAACATCGGCCATGTCAGGTGCACCGTTGCCGACTGCCTGCCAAGCAAAGCAACACCCAAGCGGCTTAGCTCAATATGAACAGCAATGGGAACGGAAGAACTACGAAGGCTTCTGTCCCATGGGTCAGGAACTTGGATATGACTACTGACTACGGCTCTGTCCACAATCAATCAACGAGCTCTCGCTCGCCCTCAAATTACTCCAAGACGGCTAAAGCAGCGGGCCAGCAGTGTTGCAGCGGCCATTTCTGACGACAAGTTCAACCGCTTGCTCCAGTAGAACCTGGGACAGGACATGCACGGACGTAGCACCCGGTCGCCGCCCCTACAGTAGCTCTTCCAGTTCTTTGAAGGGTAGCGCCGCCTGGTTATGAGGTAGATGTAATGGTGCCACTGACTGCAGTGTAACAAACAAAGAGAGCCTTAGGCCCAAGAGCTTGGAACTAGATACAGATAAGGAAGGGACATCCCAAATCCCGCATACCAGAACCTGGCACCAGTGTGCAATCTACATCTAGACGAACTGCATGGTTGCAGTTTTTCTCACATGCAGCCGCAACTAGCGCCACAAGTAGAAATTTGGCAATCGAGGGAAGGATGCCACGTTAAGGCTCCGATGCTAGGATCTGTCCTCCGAAAGTCAAAGAACTCCCAAGTGTGGTCTCTTAGAAACCGTCAACCGCTTGGAGCTGCTGCATCTCTGAAAAAGTTTGCACACAACAAGCCCGATCCAATTCGATCAAAGCACAGAGCGGGCAGGAAGAACAGTTGAGCCGTGTCCATCATCAGCCAGGTGAGCATTGCTCCCAGCATCATAATGCCAACTGCCACTAAGTTGGGCCTGATCCCAAGGACTGCCGCAGCCCAGCTCTGCACGCGACTTCAACCAACAAGCTGGGGCATACTTTATTTTCCAGCCTCGTAGCTGTCTGCAAGGCACTGAAATAATTCGTGAAGGCACCGTTACACTGGTCACCTTAAGGAGATGCTGGTCCTACCGCTGAAGTCCTCTCCGTGTGCTGATGCTCTGCAAGTTGCACATCTCTCGCTGCCAGCGATCATCTGTGGTGGTGTTCAGGGTGTCCTGGCTCATACTGCACTCAACCAAACTACTTTGCTTGATTTGTTTCGGGTGAGGTACTCCGACGGTAATCACGAAACGACTGTGGTGCCTGAAACTCGCTGCGTCGGTCTTCCGATGCCAGGAACTTCTGCAAGAGCCTGGACAACCTCCTGCATCAAGACACGTCTAATGCAAGCTGTGGCCGTGGTTGAGCCACCATCTGATTGCGTGGCACAGATGCACATTAGCGAGCCTGCTGCGATCGACTGTGATCCCGGGTCGTACAGCAAGTGCGGCATCAAATACCAAGACGACTACAAGAAATCGCGCCGGTAGCTTGAAGAGCAGCATCCGTCACCGAGAACCGAAGCCAGGCAAATGCCGAAGTTTACACCGCAGCACTCTCATACCGTGGCATCCAGCAGTTGTGCGAGGCTTTAGGCTTTTACCTCGCACCTGCCCGAAAGCAGGTATGTTTGGCAGACAAGCTATTCCCGTTGAGCCAAAGCAGCTATTCGGATGAGACATCATGCACTGATGTGATCACATGAAATAGAACGGTATATTATTTTATAATATGCAGTACCGACGATGAAACAAGGCAAGCAGCGGTAGCAGTGAGAAACAACCGTGTTTGAAGCTTGATTCTCAAGCAACCCGAAAACATCTGCATTACCCTCGGAGCACAATGCCACATGCCATGTGTTGGGCTTTTACTGCTTTACACCGCAACGGCTTCGCATCGTATCCAGTCAGACTGAACGGCAGAATGTCGGCCGCATTGTATCGCTGCATCAATTCGCTCAATAGCTGCAAGGAATCTCTTCACTAATCTGCAGACATCTTGTCAACTTTGTGTTCTCCATCTGCCAGGTTCTTCGCTTGGTTCTTCACGCTCTTTGGAGACGAGGCTGCCCGCTTTGCCACAAGTTCGCCTGGAACTCACCGCGCACAAGCCAGAGGGCTCAGACATGCTGAGAACCAAGAATCTCCAATTCACTTCCGGGTTGCGGCTGTTGGCGTAGACATAAAACCATATCCCGCAAGACATCGTTCCTTCGTGTTTGCCATCTGTAGCATTAACCGATGACATTACCCGCGGGAAGCATACCCGCTACAAAGTCATACCGCCCTTGTTCAACCGTGAAGTGTCATTCAAGGTACCTGGAACCATCCTTCTGGTGGGGTCAGTGATGTTTTTGATTCCGTCTTAGTCAGCTGTTGCTGGCTGTAAACACGGGAGGTTTACATCCGGTGGAAAGTTTCGGCAAGCAAGGGTCCCCTTCATCAACCTTGGTCCTTAACCGTCCTGAAGCTGCTGCATCGGACAATCTGAGTCTAGGCTCCGAGGACAGCCACGGCGAGCCAGGGGGCTGAATGATGCACGTCCTGCGAGCACACGAAATATCCGTGCCACATCATGCCGCAGCGAAGACGGGCTCTTCCACTTCCTCGTAGAGCGAGGCAAACACCACCGGACCCAGGACGCGTGCCATAGCTTGAAAAGCCGACATGGCACCTGCACTCGCTGACGACGCGCTTGCGAATATCTCTACGACAGAATTCTGTTGAAGTCCGGCCTAGGCATGTACCATATGCAGATGGACCAGCCACTTCCGTCAGTAGTGAGGTCTGGTTAGGAGATCCAAGGTTGTCCTTGGAGCCCATGAAATCTGAAAACTCCGTCAAGAGCTGCGTCTCAGCTGTAGCACAGTAGATTTATGTGGGCACACGCGACCGAGTCTCTCCGACGTTCTGCATACCTGCGATATGTGGTCCAGCACAGCAACCGAACTGTGTCACCTGCAGTCTCTCGAGCCTTGTGCTGCAAGGAAGAACCACTTTGTCGGTGCGAAAGCTATCCCGACAAGGCCAGATAGACGAAAGGTGGTACCTCAGGAGAGCAAGCGAGCTGGCAATGCCTTGTATCTTGTGGCTTCGTATCTAAAGACGTAAGCCTGCACGAGGTAGAAATGCGAGCGCAAACATGCTTTTTGGAAGCTAGACTTGAGTGGCTCCCGAAAGATGCAGGCCAGGTTGCCAATGGCAACAGTATACCTCCATCCGTTGGACACAAGTACTCCAAGTGGGTTGTGCCGTGACAATCACTGAACTGCCGAACACTGTTACAACCTAGGGGCCACTGCTCGAAAACGCGCATCATGTAAGGGAAGAGGAAGACTGTGACACATATCACAGTGACACCACAAAACGCCATGCCTCAAATCGGCTCCGAAAGCGACAGCTCGCGAAGTGCATGCATCAGGAAATCTTCGTGCAGAATAACACATTGCAAACATTGGTTCACCAGTGCCACGTGTACCGAGGAACTACCGGCATAGAACTGAGAGCTCGAGGTTGCAGGCGAAGGATAGGTCCAAAAATAGCCTCGGCCGATGCACATGACGCACTGTAGCCGCTGCTTTGCTTGACTCTCGTGCGTCTCAACCCCATCAACTGCGGGTAAAAGGCTGTCCATGATGTAGAGGGCAGCACAACTCTCCCATGCCTCAGGCAGCATGGAAGGCTTGACGTGAACCTCAGTTCCTGTTCACATTTCAATGAACTCTGGGCTGCCCAGGGACTGCCAGACCAGCCTGCAGCGCAGCGTGGAAATGGAGGGCCGTTGAGCACTGTTGAATGCACCGAAACACGACTAAACCAGCCTCTCCGAGAAAGGCGCCCAAACACCTCACAGGACACCCCGCATATTTCGGCGATTTTCGGCGCATACATGAGGAGGCCGCTGAAAATCCCGAAGAAGCCAGCCGAGTGGCAAGAGCCAGGCCAAGCCAGGGATCTGTGGTTCGCCGCTCTCTGGTGCACTGGCCTCATCCGGAGCCTTCGTAGAGAACGCAAAAGGTGCTCTCTCGAGAATTGCCTGCATGCAGCTAATTTTAATACATTGTCTAGCCACGTTCGTCTTGTTGGGCACGCCGAGGCAGAAGCATGCGAAGGCCCAGTTCGTTGCAGACAGCAACGCACAAACACCTAGGCTTGATGCGAAAATCCACAGACATCCACAGCAGCCTTTGACTTTCGTGCAACCTTTCGCCTATGTGCTGATGGCAGGCTACAGCTCTGTCTGATAAATGCAGAGCTGGCTAAAAACAAAACTCAACCTACCTTGCCGAAAAGTGCGAATAGTCGCGTCAAGAGCCTCCCTACCGCAGCGGCTGTAACGCTCGGCGCAGATCTGCACAGCACTTCTGTGTTCTGTACTCTCGGGATGGAAGCTGGCCGGAGATTGGAAAGCCATCAAGACGACGGCAGTTCCCGGAACATAAACACAAGCAGCGCAGGGACTAGATCAATTTCGTTCCGATAAATGCTTTATAGTTTTTCCAGCCGTGCGATCGTGCGAGAAGAATGCAACTTTGGGTTGGAATCCGAATGATATCCTGACAAAGTAACTGTTTGAGTTGAAGCTTGTTCCAGCGAAGCTCCATGTCGTACATCATTCGTGCACGAGTATTTGCGATCTGAGACAAGCTTCGCTGGTGGACCAAGCAACAACAGTTTATCGTGTATCGCCGGCCACCAACATAGACAACATCGGTCAAGTCGCCACGAATGTATGCGAGCAGTCAGAGCAGCTTCAGAGCTGGATTTGATGGCGTGCCCCGGAGCATAAAAGTCGCGATGCCGCATAATGCTGCAAAACTGTCGCCTGCAAAAGTCAGGAGTGCAGAAACGATGCAACGTTGAATAAGCTTTTCGAGTCGAGAGCAAACAGGTGGACCTGAACATTTCGCTGGGCACAAGCTGGTGCAATGTTTCGGAGAGAAACAAAACTAACATCCTCCGTGCAGTGACCCTCTCTGAAGTCAAACAGCCGTTTCCAAAGCCAGGTCTGTACACTGCATCAAGAAGCCATTACTTGAGCAAAGAGCCAAACAGCGTCCGTGCAATACTCCCCAAGCAAATTGCAGTTGCGGATCCACTGGGTCTTCTAGAACATGATCAGTTCCTCTCAAGCCAGATGTGCGTAGCTCGAGATCACAGACAATTCGTAAAGCTCCGAGAGGGTTGGATCACCAAGCAGGGCCGCTTGAAACACAGCGATTGTGAGTGTATCTTTTCTGAACGGCTGGCAGAGATGCTGGCTGATCATCTGGAGCAATATCAACGGAGAGTCGAGACTTCGACCAACGACGACAACTTAGTTTGTGCTAGCAAGAATGTCAGAAGGTCCGATTACACAGGAAAGCTTTTTCAACGATGGTGTTGAAGCCGTGACCATGGAATTGGCTTTTCGATATTTGCTTAGTCTTTGCTTGCAAGCCACCGCCGTTACCGACGAAAGGTCCCATGTTTTGTTGGCCTTCGTACTGCCACCACCGAAACACATTGACTGCCGCAATCACGATTAACATCGGCCTTTTAGCCTCCCAGCTCAACTTCGAAGAGCCAAGGTGGCTCCACCATAAACCCCACGGTGCTTCGATCATGCCAAGTTGTGGTTGCGGCATAGCTGTTTCGGAATCGTGCTTCGCAGAGGGTCCACAGGGTCTGGGGGAGGGTGCAAGAGTAGCACCGGTTGCAAGACTGGTAAGGCTGATACAGCCACAGCCCTCTTGCTTGAAAGTCGGGTTTTGCTTTGTCAGATTAGTGTCGGACCCCTCGGGCAGGGCCTCGACGGTTGTGGTCCAGCTGCTCTAAACCGCTGTTCAACAAGAGGTTCATGCCTCCTCCACAACCCAAAGCGAGAGAGCACAGGAACCCGGCAGTCACTCAGACCAGTCGGACTAGCCAAGTAGATAGAATGCTTTGCTGAACCACCGTGCAGAAATAGCAACACCGCTTGCACGATGCTTTTGGCTTAGTGATGCCATAGGGCTTTGTGCTTTGCCAAGGCGCGGCATGCTGCCACAAATCCCTGGTTGCTGATCACAGCTCCGACGACTGGTCCAACAAGGATGCCCAAGGCGATGCCTGAGCTCCACCCAGCGACAAGGGATCGGGAAGGGATCTCCCCATGAAGCGACCACAAATATACGCCCGGCCAACCGGCGCACACGTCCCTGCCCAAAGGTGCCAAGCCAGCTAGCGGTGCACTGCATCCCCTCTGGCTCGAAGCAAAGTGCGAACTTCCGAAAGCCGGGCCCTGCCTACATTCTCCTACGCACTCCATTGCATGGACATGGACATACCCAGACGCCTTCAGTGCCTTCAGATGCCTTCAGATGGCTTCAGATGGCTTCGGCTTCCAAGGCCGAGCTGCTGCCGTTGACATGGGCGACTCGAACGGGTCGTTCCGTCTCGTCGGTGATGTCTGCAATGTATGCATTGCAAACACCGATCCTCGATGCGATACAGGCTGCCCGGAGCAGGGTCTGAAGTTCTGAAGATGCTTGGAGCAAAAGCGCAGGGTCTTGGAGCTCGTTGGCCGATGGTATTGGGGGACGTGATTAACGACGAACGTGCGTGATGTCCATTTCCAGCGGCGGCATCGTGAGGATGTGTGCTAAGCATGCTTCATTTTCAGACGTCTAAAGAGGAAGATAGCTCTTCTTTGCGCAAGCATGCCGTCTCACTTCCATCCAGTTGGTCAATCCCTACCCCTCGACGAGAAAGACGCATTCTCCTTCTCTCCAAGACACGTAGCAGAGAATGCGCCAGCCAAGGTGTAACCCACCAGCAGCCCGTGGAAGCTCCTGCTACGAGGCACGACCCTGCTGGAAGCATGCGAAGTGGCGAAGCGAGCCTTGCACAACTCAATGCTGCAAAGGCAGAAACCTGAGTTGCCAAGTTGTGACTCGTAGACACGCACACACGGAGACACACACATACACACCCGTTCTACGTCCCACCTGCCACTCTTTCCTTGCATCCCTTCAGCATTCATATCATCCCGAATCGATGAGGCCGTTCCCTCTTGCTTCAAGGCTGCTTCACCGGCCACGGCAAGCAGCAGCACCTACGCCATCAAATCTCACACTTTTTCCGTTAGCAATCTCAGCTGGGCCGAGTAAGCATCCCAACTTTGCGCAAGTCCGGTCGCCTTGCGCCGTCCAATTCGATCGGAAAGGTAGCCGAACAGCGGGGTGAGAAAAGCCTACCAGGAAGGATGCGCCAATACATACTGTCTGGATGCCATGGCTTTCGATTCAGGCATTCGAACAAGATGCTAGCACGGGAGGACGAAAGCTGCAGAGGCTCTTACGATTGTTCATCCAGAATGGGGGTGGGTGTTCCATTAGCCAGAGCGGTGGCCTGTGCGAAGGAGAAGGCAGTCAGCAGGCCTCTGATGGGCAGAGAAACACTTCTCCTTTCTCTCAACCTTGCTTCCAACACTCGAACACGTCGTGCCGTGCCTGCGATATTTCGTGCGCTCATGTTGAAAGTCTTCGACAGTACCGGAACATAGGGAGCGAAGATTCCAAAGCCAAATGCATCCTCGGTGTGTTTTGAGCACACGCCAATGGAGCCCTAGAACACAGCTGTACCACTTTTCAAGACCTGCACAAGCAGTAATAAGCCAGCAGCCATGAAGACGATGAAGTACAGGGTAAAGAATGAAGCCTTCACAAACAGCGGCTTCCCGGCAGCTTCCCGCAAATGCATGATTTCCGATCACACTTGAAACATAGTCGGGTATGGTGAAGCTACAGTTGGTAGGGCTAGGATCAGCCTCTGTAGCGTTGGGTTTGCGTCTTCTTCTCTCGTGCTGCAACGATGCACATTGATGATAATCTGCCTAAGCACTGAAATGCACTGAACACCCTTTGCACCCCTTTTTGCGCTCGACTGTAGTCAGAACCGTGAACGGCACCTTTTCAACGCTGGTTTGACTTCATTGACAACATGGATGTCTGGCTTGCAATACCAATGTGCTTTCAGTATGTTCGACTTCGGAATGTACGGCCCCCTGCTCGCGCCTCATCCGTCGCGGACTGTCCTACCGGGAGCAGCAGCAAAGGGTGTCGAAACGGAAATGTTGGGGAGCTCCATTATTAGGGTGCCTTGCAACTGGGGTGCCATTCTGAGAAGATGATGTAGAATGATGTACTCTTGTCGATTCAAAAACGGGACACTAATTTTGCGAGCTTCCACATCTTGATTATCCGCTGAACAATCGCTTTGTTGGCAGTTGCTGCGCCTTGGCCAGCTGAATCGGCGCTGCTTCGCAGAAACCACATCGTCAATCCAAATGCCATCCTCAGCGTTCGCAAATACAGACGAGCTTTTCCTGCAGTCTGAGTCTCAGCTGCTGTTGCTTAATGAGCCTTTCTTCGGAATGCAACAGCCGATCAGACCTTCAACCGGGACACACAAGCACTACGTAGACGAGGCCAACGTCAATGTGAGCCGACTGATGATCGTGCGCCAGCTCTTCAACGAGTGCAATTCCACCAAGCCTCACGTGGCTGACATGCAAGATACAAGTGAACGGATGTCAACATGACCTGACCGTCACACGACCAGTTGAGTCTTCTGCCGGGGCAAGGGTGCTTGCCTCTCGGAAGACGCGGGCCACTGCCTCGCAACTAAACGTCAAGCGCGGCGATAAACGTCAAGCGCGGCGATGCGGCAAGCCGTCTCCATCCAGAGCCTCTGTGCCAGATCCGGCTTGCCGTGCACAAGTGCCTGTGTATCGTGGGAGGTGTTGCTCCGTGTCCTGAGATTCATAAAGGTTCCTGGCTCTCGCTGACGTCCACCCTAAAAGCAACAAGACATAAGACCTTGCTGTGGAGAAGCAAGTTGAGCTGAATGCTCACCTGAAGCAGCCGCACGTCTCCAAGCTCGCCTGAAGGTCTTAGGAGAGTGCAGGATACCTAGTTGTCGCACAACACCCAAACGAAACCCGGGGAAAGTCGTTGAGTCAGTGCACGCGAGGTGTGCGCAAGATTGAAGTAAGAAAGGTTTCTGTATGAAACATACTCAGGCCGGTCAAAGCATCTGTTGCACAAACATGGCCATCAACGACTCCGACCTCTCGTCCAGTCCCTCCTTCATGCCGTGTGGTGAAGTGCCTGAACTTCCTGTGCAAAGTGTGCATCTGCTGCACATCGTCCCACGCACTGCTACCGGGACTGCGTTGGACGAGTTCCTTTGCGACGGTCGCTTTTGCATGGGTTTGAAGGCCGCATCGGCGTGCCTCCTCGTCCTGCTTGTTCTCTGATTGTGGTGCCGACGACTGGCCGCCAAAGAAACCCACCCCCAATTCTGGGCCCCAATTTGGTCCCCAACTTGACTTCCATGTCATCACAAGCGAAGGTTGACCTATTGCATGGCTTTTTGGATCTCCCCCGTGAGGCAATGGCCTCCGGTGGTCAGTGGATATTCAGGCTGACCAGGTTCCCGATGCTGTTGCTGACCCTCGCCTTGAGGTGGCAGGCTCCCAGGCGGCGCCGTCTGTGCGGAGCAAGTCAATTGGCTCAGGAGAAAGTTGAGTTCTGTGAGAGTGTACCACCAAATTACCCTTCATGACGTTGTTCCTACGTTCGAGTCGGAGGCTGAAACGTACCAATCACGTAGGCCGCCCATCGACGCGGGTGTGGTTCTTCAGGTTGCCGACGCCGAACAGGAGCGAGGAGCTGGAAGAGCGCAGGTTTCGTTCAAAAAACCGAGCACTGCTTCGGGAGTCTCGGGGCGAAAGTGAAAGACGAAGAAACACGTTTGAATGGACCCAGCCGGAAATTGTTCCGCGTGATACTACCACATGGGGCTGCCCCGACAGAAACGAGTCCCACATGTAAGGCACTGTAGGATTTTTTCCTGGGTAGGAGTCCGAGGATACTTTCTTTCTTCCACGCCGTCGAAGAGTAATGCACTCGCACCACTCCCTCGCATGCATGCGCTTTGGTCTCATGTCATGGTGCGATGCTGCATGCCGAGATGAGGCATGGCCGGCGGACCGGGGAACAACTGTGCCGCTTCTGTTCGGTAGTGTGTTCCCTCCTTCTCCCTCTGCCTCTCTCTCTTGTGTGCTCATCTCGCTCAATCTAACTTGTTGACTCAGCGTTAGGATCTGCAATGATTTGTCACAGGAAGGCCAACAGGCAAGTTACTTTCGTCCAGGCCGTCATCTCCAACTTCGCAACCGCTTCCTTCGGCATCAACCTGCATCTTTGTTGTCTCAACGATTCTACGTCAAGCTCGCAGCAGCTAGCCTTTCAGTTCGGTACGTGCGCTACTACTCCTGATCCTGCACAAAGCCAAGACAACAGAACAAGATGCCGCTCAGCCACAGCAACACACGCAAAGGCTATGAGTACAGCTGGCAGCTTCCATCCACAGCACGCAGGCATGGCTCGTCTGATGGCTGTATTACGATACTTGCCAGAAATTAAAGACTTCCAAGTTACGCGACGAAGAGGAGTTCCGGCATAAAAGACATCGGTTGTATGGAAGTTCCCGTACCACGGAAGTTCAGTTGGAACAAGGCTATGGTTTCGCCTTGAACCAATTCTTGAGAGGGAAGTTCACGCATACATGCTGCCAACGAGTCAATACCTAATCAAAGTATTACCACCCCAGCCACTTCCGCCAAACGGCTTAGGAGATATTCCTTTGATGCCAAACCGTTCGCCACTGCGGGTTTACATCTGAATCGAACTGTGAAACATGAGAATCTAGAAACTGACACCAGTCTTCAGCTACGATGTAGTCCCAGGATACTAACTAGTAGAAGGGATGAAACCGTACCTAAAGAACCTTGCTCATTGAACAGCTCTTTTGAAGTCTACATGCTGCTGACTTTTTATGAAACCTTCCAAGCGGTGGCTTTTCGCGTCGGAAGGTGTAATCGTCCCTGCCTGCTTCAGAGCTACGTCAGCGCAGTCTCCGGTGCTGTTGCCGAGGGCTCTTCTCGTCATTTCGTGCGTCCGGTTCCAGGCTCTGCGAGGTGGCCGAGGCCTCGAGCCCAACCAGGCACCTCGTGGCGCCTTTCTGGCACCATGTCCCTGCGAAACGGGAACTGTTTGGCAGTCGTGGTGACGATGACTTTCAGGGATCAAGTTCCCGTAAATTCCCTTCTTGCCACCATTTCGCAGCATCTCGCAAAACTTGGTTGAGAGCATAGGCGGATGCATTCCTGGCTCTCGCTGCAGCTCGAGTTTTCAACACAATCAAAAGACAGGACTATCTGCACAGTGAGCAGCTTTTCAGCGTCCGTCAGGTAAGGCAGCACCGCCAAGCACCCGACAAATGCAGCAACCTTGACTTGGAGGCCACAGAAGCGTCGAAAAGAGTATCAATCCACCGTGGCCTAAGTGGTTAAGCTAGCCTGGGCTGTGGACAGGCGAAGTTCTTCATTCAAGCCCAAACTGGAAGAGTTCCTTGATAAGACATGCTGCATTCGCAGCCATTGGCTCTGCCGCAAGCAAAGTTGCGGCATAGCTGCTTAATTGCAGCGCATCGATTTTGCGTATAAGCCCACTCTCGGTATTCAGGGTATGCACATAAACTCCACCGTCCTAGCAATTTCGCGCTCAATGGACGGCTACTGGCGAGGAATGTTATGCGAAACCTTCTGTGCAGCAGCACTGCAATCGCTCCTTGCAATATGTTAGCAAGCCGCCGCCCCCTGAAAAGCGACCAACGAGGATGCGGTCCTGCAAAATGCTTGGCTCAATGGGAAACAGAAAACAACAGAAACCATATCTGGGACTACGTGGCAACACCGAACATGGCAGCATGGTCCTTGCCCTCTGGTGCGAACTCTACCGTCGCAGACAAGATCTTCAGGTCGCCAAGCAGCCGTGCCGGAGCTTTGCCACGAGCCTGCTTTCAATAAAATCATTGATCTGCCCGAGTGGCCGCACATGAGCCTACACGCCGAATGGACTCGGAAAGCCTCCCTCTTCGTGACCCCTGCCTAACCGCTCCCTCAAAATGCCCGGCTTGGAGTTTCAAGGCGTGTGGGCTTTGGCTTTTGTTCTTCAGCGCTTGAGATTTAGGGTTTAAGGGGAAGGTTTAGGGCCAGGGTTTTAGGTTTATGTATGTTCGTGGGTGTTTTGAAGTTTGAGGCTTGGGCATACCTTCGCGCCAGGGTTTAGGGTTTATCTAAGAAGCTTTTGCAAGAGGAGGTCAGGGTTTTATTAACGTCTCATGGCTTCAGACTAGGGTTTTGAGGGTTGGGGTTGTCCCCTGGCGGCCACTTTGCCAAGGGGTTGCACCTTCATGACCCTACCTTCACGAGATTTCACGAGTATTTCAAAGGGTTCAACGAGTAGTTCAGGGATGAAGGTTTAGCGTTCAACGTCGAGGGCCAGTTGATCGGGTAAGGTTTGACATGGGGAGTTTTGGGGGTTTGAACTCGGCTTCAGTGCCTGAGACAAAACAGATGAAAGCAGTATCTGGTCTCTTCCGACATCCGAAAGCCTGTGCCCCACTTCGTGGACAAGGCAGCAGCCAACAAGGTAGAGATGCGCACACGCGAGGCGAATCACTTAACATACGAACCACATGCACGGCCTGTCCTCAAGGGTCCAAATTGGGCACGTAGACCGTCAGGCCGTAGGGTGAAGCACTTGATGCCAGCGCAAAGTTCTCGATAAGTCCGGAACCCTGTCCAATCTGGAGCGTTTCAGCTTACCGCTTGCCACTTGCGTTAGGCTGGGGCGCCGCAGTGACTGGTGCGGGAACGCTGAGCACAGGCCACGCAACGACACCGTGCATGTCAAGGCGCTCGAGAAAGCCAGTGAAGCGACAAGACTGCGGCCAGAAACCATGGTGGGATCACATCTGGGGTTTGGCAGACAGCAACTGCCGTTTGCAAACCCCCTCCCGCCCTTGTCGTGGAGATCTCAATTCGATGTGGGTTGCTGGTGTGTGCTGACAATAAAAATACAGTAGTTTTTGCACCTTGAGGAAGCCACCAGCGTAGAACAAGGAAGATGGCTGAAAACTGCCATCATGAACCCTTGAAAGTAGTGGAATTTACACATCGTTTCACATTTCTGGCATAATTAATTTCTGACAAGTCCGAACGTCCAGAAACAAACTTCGCAACTCCTTGACAAGCGTCCCTGACCGAAAATCTTCAACTCTAGCTGAACATCAGGTCTGGAACCCACACTGTCGTCATTGGATAGCAAGTCTTAAACCCCCGAAACCCAAGCTCCAGAAGCTTCAGCACAACAGGGAGCCGGCTGAAAAACCTGGACAATCTCAGGCCACAACCAAAGACATGGCATGCATGCTCGGTCCCAAAGGATGCACTGGTAGCATGGACGTTATTATCATCGTCGTTCGGGCATGATGGCTGCTAGATCCCAAAGGATGCAGTGGTAGCATGAACTCGTTCATCCTTCAGGCGTGGATGCTCGGTCCCAAAAGATGCAGAAGTAGCGCAACGATCAAATCAATAAGAAACTGCAAAACTCAACGACTGCGCACCAAAAAGGTAACACAGTCCATTACCCGGCAGAAAACCCGAGCAGACCCAAAGAAAACATAATGACACCGAAAAGACATAGACAAACGGGTCCGGGCGGTAAGTCAGCCACCTGGCTAAAAACAACAGGCCCAACTGGCACCTTCGAGCCTCCCTAATTGCACTAACCTTGTCTGCAAGAAGAAAATCCGAAAGCAAGCTCCATGAGCATGTTGCTCTCCAGGCGAGTGCCTCCGAGTCTGAAGTTGTGTAGCGTCCTCCAGTTGCACAGCAGCGTGACAGTGACGTGTCTTAAACTAGAGTTGCGGTTGAGGGCTGAAATGTCGCTTGCGTTCCGGCCTGGGCAATTGCGCAGCTCTTTCCATCTGTGGCTTCGCCACAGCTTCTCCAGCACAGCCCCACCATCCCCTGGATACTTGCCATCGCCGTAGAACATGGAACACGCAATATAGACATGCTAGTGAGATGAAAGCCGGGAGCTGTCAATTGCAGGGACTGTGCTGGTGCAGCCTGGCTCGAAGCAAATTTAGCAGCTAGTCACAGTCTCGGACGTTCCTAGGTTCCTTCGTTCTACCGATTTCTGCGGACTCGTGCATGGAAGTGTTGCGACACTTCACGGCTAAAAAAGCATGCTGTGCCTCGCGGCAACTAGGTGCTGTCGGACTGAGCCAGGTTTCAAGCAAAATCAAGCGAACACACACACACACACACACGACACACGCACACGCACGCGCACACACAGACATCCAAACACACTGACACACACACACACATACACACACACATACTCACACACGCACACACAAGGAGATCTTTCCCTCCGCCTCACGCTCAGGAAGTGGCAAGGTTGAAGAGCTGCCAAACGACGAAGAGCTTTGTTTCGTCTGGACTGATTACCGTGCGACTTCTGGCTTCGTGTGGCTTCGCAGCTCCCGCTCACGTGGCCCAGTCAAAGTTTACAACACACGGCGCATCGCTCCCGAGCCACATGGGTCAGCATCGTTGGAGTCATGAGCTGCCTTCCTCTTTCAAGGTAGACTTGCTCGTCGAGCCTGGTTAACTTGTACTTTGGGCCTGTCAATCAACTATGGCCTTATAGAACTCTAAAGTCTGGACGTTTGAAGCACATGCAGCATGTCAAATGTACAGCTAAGAAAACTCTCATACCTCTGCGCTGATGACTGTGTGAGCACTTGGTATGGATTCGCCCGTCTTGCATGAATGCAACAAGAGCTTTGCCTTGGGGGTCTGAAGTGCAAAAGGATTGGAAAATCAAGTCATCCAACGGAGACTTTGGGGCCAAGTGAAGGATTGTATAGCATCTGAGCAAGCTGAGAAGCCCTCTTTCAAGCAATATCAGCTGAACATGCCTATGCGCCTAGTCATACCCGGCTTCGTGATATCCCACCCCTGGCCGTGCAGCTGGAAGGGTCTATGCTGGACCTCCTCCGAAAGGGCCATTCCTCAGCGTTTCTGCATGCCAGGCGATCAGATAATGGTGGGGTAAAGGTACAGTCGGTGCATTATCTTAAGTCGAGGGGCTTGATGTCAGCCTTGGCGCGAATCTCCTCCAAGGTGTAGTCCACAAGCAACTGGCCATCCTCCCGCACGCAAGGGCCACAAGAAGGCCACCCAGTATGGGGGATCGACGGTGTCAATTCAATGGCCAGTCCTTGAAAACGTCAACCATGATGTCCTTCGATGCATCGCCCTTGCCGCTAGCGACGGTGACGAACTTGTTGTCCGAACTGTAATGCCTTAGGTCACCAAAGCGGAGTCTTGGCCGCACATGCCGGATGATTCAACAGGGCATCAAGACTATTGGACCAGCCATGAGCAGCCAAAGCACAAGAAGCCAGTTCCTCCAGGGACTGGGTTCTTGTCTGAGCGAGGCTGGTACCTGGCACTTCCAACCTAACTGTTCTTAATCCTCCGGTTCTTGTGGCAAGCCAGTGAAAGCCCGTGCATCGATAGAGGCGTGAAAGTCTTGTGTGAAGCTTTGTAGCATGTCACCCGTGTGTTGAAAACCCCGAGCACTTGTCAGCGTCGGAGAAGCCCGTCGTCTCCTGAAGTTTGCACAGGCTCATTCGGCACCCATGGACCTATCGCTCTCGTCGCTCTCGTCTCGCCAAGAATCAGAAGCCAGCTGCAAGGTCAAACGACCTTTCTTCGAGGCCTCGTCAGCTACTGCTAGCATCTCGGCAAATCCTTGACAGCTCTTGGTGGAGGCTGCCTTGCCCTTGTCGGTGATCGGGTCCTTGAACCTTGTCCAGAGTCAGGTCAACGGAAGTGGGCCACTGCTCGTGAAACATCTGTACTGCAGCTATGTGCCGGCCAATTGAGATCAGCACACATCACGGCTTTCACCATTGATTGTGATCTCTGCGCACCTCGTGCTTTCCACACAAGTGAGGCTGGTTGCTGCATCGTGGCACACAATGCAAGCCACATGAGGTTCCCGAGCTAACGATTCCTGTCCCGTCTTCAATGTCACTGGCTTGGCTTCGCTCTGCATTCTTTGCCTTTAGACCATCCCGCTCTCTGCAGCGGTGGGGATATACAATTACAGCCGAGACTTTGCTCGGCGCTGGTACTAGTAGGAGATTTAGTAGGTCTGCAGGTTGCGACGCTTGCAAGGCAAACGTGCTCGTGCAAGCCATTTGGCTTTGCAGGGTTGGGGTTTCGCAGTGACTCCGAATCGACCTTCAGATCGCCATCGCCGGCTTTGCTCGCTCCGTACATACGTTTTTGCTAAGTGGCACATATCTACTGCAGAAGTGTGGGACTGTGTTTTGAATTCTTGTCGGGGTCGGGCAGAACGACTCTCAACACCGTGGATCCTTGGGGCTAAGAACTCGAAACCCTGAAACCCCTCTTTTCGCTGAACCCTGATGCTGTAAACTTCTGAGCCATCAGAAACCTCCTGTTCCCCCTGCTCCTCTCCCTATTCCGCCTCTCTCTGCGACCCCAGTCCCATCGCTTTCGGATGTTGAGAGATTAATCGACGAGAGAACGAGAAGTCACAAGTCACATGTCCACCATCCCTGTAGCCGCGGCACTTGAAAGCGCACTTGAAGGTGTCTCGGTTCAACTTCTGCAGCAAAGCTCCACCACTTCCAAAGCCAATATTGTCCTTGGAAGGAAGCTGCGCTAAGGACTACTTGCCATTGCTGCAGCTGCTTGCTGCCGTGTTTCAGCAGCAATCCCTTCTTTCTTGAGCTTCTCAAGGATCTTGGGAATGGACTGCCAGTCGACGCCGTCACCCTGTCTTAGGTGCCGAACTAAGGCAGGCTACTGTACCCTGGTTCTAATTGATGCATAGGTAGCTTTCTTCTTCGCCAACAGTCTCGGAGACGGCGATTGCTACGCAATCCATTTCGCTTCCCAAAGTGCCAGAACATCAAAGCACTTAAAGAACCGCCTGGATGACACGGATGTACGCAGGCAGCAGCTTATGTCCTTGCTGCTGATTTCTTTCTCTGCTTACACATGCATGAAGACTCTGCGTCCTGTCGGTGTCAGCGTCACATCTTCCTGGTCGCTTAGAATGCAAACAGAAGGATTGCTTAATGACAGTCGTTCCGCCTTGAACTGCTCGAGAAGAATCCTGAGCAAGCAAATTGCTACCGAGGTTACCTGTCGACCCTTAGCACAGGCGCAATGAGAGCGAGCCGAGGGACTTGAGGATGGCTGTGCAAGTCTCTGCTGGATCACCACTGTCAGGCCGCACGACCAGACGACCAAACTTGGTGTCGGTGATGCCTCACAACCAAGGCCAAGACATGTCGCAGTCGCAGCAAAGCTACAATAAGCGGGTCTGTTGGCCAGGCCAAACCAAGCCACGGCCCTTGATGAGATCCTTGAGCTTGTCACCCCAGTAGTCTTTGCATGCACGCCAGATGTCGAAGGAGTCCGAGACCTTCGGCCAGAAAGTGAGTTTCCACCGCTGTGTTCGGGTGATGTCTGCCGCACTCCTGTTTCCAATTACCAATGTCTGCACTCTCGATGTACGTTCGAATTGTGTATAGGCCTACCGTCCTGGCCAGGCCATCAGTGTCAAATGCCAAGGCACGCAAGCCACCAGCCCTTCCGGATATTGTTCCAGCATGTTCCTGTAGACTGTCCGCAGAGGTTCATGTAACCGATTGAGAACAAGATGGGACATGCATGGACATGCGAGAAATCGGCATGTGTGCGCTTTCCGCACGTTCAACATATCTTCGCCGCCTCATAGCATCGACCTCACCGTCGACGCCCCAGGACGTAATGGTGGAGTGTTCCGAAGCTGGAATGGACCCACCGGCTGCCTGCCAACCAGAACGTGCGCAAAGCATAAGGAGGGGTCATGTCCCTGCCTTTTTCGCTCCATAGTAGTCCCTGGCACAGATCATGGCAGCAACGGTGTCAGTGCCAAGGAAGTTCACCAGGTGCCTGGTGCTTCGCAGGAGCAGGTTGTCAGAACGTATGGCTGATGCGACACTACTACATGCGCGGGCAATCAGCCCGATGAACCACCTCCGTGTTGGGGCTTCTGGTCTTGGTCCAGTTTTGACCATTCTCATCGGGGTCTTCTATCGCTATTTGTTTATATTGCTCAAGGCATGTCTTACGCTTTTGCCTGCAGACCGGAAAAGGAGCGCGTACTTTAAACAAGGACCTACAAAGGCGCTATCGTCGGTCTCTTGCAGCTGCAGATTCTCGAAAGGTCAGACACTGATGTTTCAGTTGATTCGGAGCCAACGTGTGTCGGGAATTGATGTCGCGGATACTGAGAATGCCCTCCTCAGGGCGATTCTCTTCCGGCTCTTGCGGCAGAAGCCCAGCTCCACGGTTGTAATCTCAATTTCACCTTTGGTTTGCATCTTGCAGTCCGCCTCGCCGCGACTTTCCTTGTTCGCCTTTCTCTAATGGCCGATGTTTATCACGTAGGAACATTAAGTCGAAAGCTATCTGCCCGCCATCCCCAAACTTTGTCTTCTCGACTGAATACGTACATTTTTTTTCACGGACCCATGTAAGTGCGGCACGCACATCCTCCAATTGCCGCAGACTCAACGGAGGAAACTCCGCGGAAGCCGAAGTCATGCAGTTTGAAGCCTCGACACGCAAGCCACATGCCACAGCGACAGAAGCATGCCGCGTATGCCTCTGCGCACACGCTCTTTGACTTGGGAGGGCTACTCTTGTGCTCTGGCTCTTGTAAAACGCCAAAAGTCTCTGCTCTAGGACCTCCCCTGGTTGTCTACAACGCCTAGAGCAAATACCATTTTAGAAATGTACGAGGCATCTGGCAGACATGGCACAGACGCCACCGGGGATCGTCCAGTCTGTGTTTCCCGTCTCCTGGCAACCAGGGGAAGTGCCAGACCAGTGATGCAAACGCTGCCGTGCCCCAAGCGTCTGCCAAAGGGTCGGCCTCCAAGTATTTGGCAATTGAAATCCTGGGGCAAGTTCAGCACATACGTCAAAACAGTACTGCGTCTCGACACCGGTGCAACCTGTGCTAGTCCAAGACACTTCTGAAATCGGCTTTGTGTGCAGACGGTCATTGGGTACCAAACCTCGCAGCAGCAGCCACCATATCCGCCACTACCCAAAACATGGACAAGGGCAGAACGGCCTGCACCAGCAACGTCTCCAAGAAGTTAGTCAGCCAGAAGCATTTGGGATCCTGGGGCGCGGATGCACAAGTCCCAGCTGTTAACACAGAGGCAGATTTCCGGCGGCCCTGTCCGGCCCTGGGTAAAGGGTGAATCCAAAAGTCACGCCGCAGTAGTCCAGCCGCGGTGATGGAGGAAGCTGTTTAGTTGTTTAGATGACTAGCTGGCTAGCCGGGTACGCTAGTAGCAGTAGTAGTAGTAGTAGTAGTAGTAGTAGTAGAGTAGGGGCTTTGAGTGTAGTACGCTCGAAGCCTTTCTCGAAATACATGGCAGGCCCGGTTTTTCGTGAGTTTGAGACGTTGCGGTCGGCACGCAACTTCTGCTTTAAACCTGTATTTTTGGCGCAAGATGCGTCCTCTCGAGTTCTGTGCTTGCGCGCCGGGCTCGTTTGCTTTTCGTCTATCTGCGACCTGTGTGTGACTCATCACCTCATTATAAGCGTCACCGTGCTCATCATCAGAGGAAACAGCATCACCGTCGCCACCGTCATCGCGATGATTACCCTCCTTACCATTATCCTTGCCATCATCGCAAGTTATCTTCATCGTCATCTCGAAAAGGAGGGACTTGGTGCTGGAGCCAAAGCCCAATACCTAAAATGAGCGGTTCCTTAGGCAAAACCACAAACCCTAAAGGCAGTATCACGTCAGAAAACCCCCAAAACCCTAATCGGTTAAACTCTTGGCAACCCTAGAAGGATGCTTTCCCGAAGCCCCAAAATCCTAAACCTACAGGTGGTGGCCGTGTGCCCGAAATCCCACACTATGGGCACCTAGATCTCACAGGATGGCGAGACTTTCGGGGAATCCTGCACAATCCCTAACCTTGTCAGTGCTGGCGCACAGCAAAACCTCAACCCCATTGGCAACTTGAAGAGCTGTTCGCTCTTGGTGCATGTTGGAAGTAGAGCTTCTGGCATGAGGCAACCAGGGCAAGATTCGTTATGTCACCTGCAATTTGGCTTCATAAAACTGTCACTTCTTCGCAACCTGGACCTGCTACCTGCAACTGGAGAATATTCCCGAGGCGCAGTGTTCACAAGAGTGAACAAAGCAGTCTTTGTGGGGATAACCATGCCTGGTGCGGATCTCAAAGCTATGCGGAGAATCAAGCTCTGATGCAAAGCCTATCTTGACTCGGCAAAGTCAGAAAAGAAGTCCGAAAGGCCTTCTGGGACGGCCTTGATGTGAACAGGCAGCCTGGTCGGCGCTGGACATGTCTAGCATTCCGAGTTATGTGCCAACACACCAGGCCAGCAAGAGGGGACAGGGAGGGGGAGAGGGGGAACACAAGAAAAAACATACAGTGCCTTCCGCCATGCTCCTTCAAGATGTACTCCCATCCCTCACGGTAGAACCTCAAAAAGCAGGGTGACATAATCGAAGAATTCGCATCAAGCTCACAAGCGCAGCAAGCGGCAGAGATTTGTCATCTCCGAAGTGCTCTGCGTAGAGCTCTGCGGCCTCGTCGATCTTCTCCTTTTAGATCTTTTGAAAGAGTAGCAGTAAATGGCCCAAATTCACATAATTCACCTTCAGATCGCCCGGCCGCCCCAGTCCTTGGTCACGACCTGGCCGAGCAAGTACCGCTTGATGAAATACCTGACGAGGCCGTCAAGCTTCAGAAACTCTTAAGGGGTTGGCTAGTGGTCCGTGCGCGTCTGCATGCTGCCGAGATACTGAAGGCCGAAAAAGACGACTTCTTTCCATTCGTCATTCTCACAACCGCGACTTTCGAAATAACCTGGGTGAACAGGCTGAGGTAGGGAAGATGACTGGAAGCCGCACCATGACGTGCCGAGTGGCTATAAACGTACTGCGTTCCAGGAGGGTACTGCTTCCAGTGGCTGACCTTGTAGCTGTCCTGAGCGCTTGTCGTTCTAACAATCACGCTCTAGGACTTGCCTTGGCAGTTCCGAGTGGCCGAAAGCAAGATGATATTCCTTGGATGGTCGCTGGCGAACTTGATATGAGCAGGGGGGGCGCGGGACGCGGGGATCTAAAGCCCTCGGTCTGGTTCCGAAGCTTTCGGAGATGTCCGGGATCAACCGTTCGAACTAGCTGAGAGATGCCACACTTCCTGCTCTCCTCTCTCTTCTGGATTCACATCTTCGCGGTTTGAAACTCATTGCTTGCTTCGCGGTGACCAATGTTGCAGGATGATGCTCGAAAGGGCCGTTTCGACTTGTGGTCTGTTGCCCGGTTTCACGGTGTAGTGCTTTCCACAGGACAATCCTTTGCTCTTGAAGCACAGTCCAATTTCCAGTCCGCTAGCTTGTACCACACATGCTCCACTTGTCGTTTGCAGGTAGGCGTACGCTTGCAAGCAACAGCTTTGAAGAACTAGGACGTCTGCTGCTCTTGACTCGTACTCGCATGAGGACGGATGGGCTCCGAGGGAGCAGGATGATGTGTGGAGTTTGAACATGAAGTTGGATCGCATCATGAGCATCGTTCCAGGTAGTCCAGCCAACAGTTCGAACCAGAAAATGCCTGGAGCAGCAAGACAGCTTGCATCTTGAACATGTCTCCCCGCTCGCAGCCCAACACTGCCAAAGCGTGAAAGCAAATCAAACAAAGTCTGTGCGAGCTTGTAGGAAGATGTAGGAAGTCTGCTCTGTGCGCCTGCTTGATTTCCACCTCCATCTTGCTTGCGCAGGTGGGACGAGTGAGGCGATGGCTCGTAACGAACCAGCGCCGCAACCGTCTGCAGGAACAGTGAAGTGCAAAAGTAAGCGGCCGAAAGCAAGCACGCAAAGCACCATGATTTCGAGCGATGCAAGTGTGACACACAAGCAGCTTCTCTCGTCGATTGAGCTAGAGCGGCCTAATTCACACCGAGTTCCAGCCATAGCCGGCCAATTGCTGCTGCATGTGCCTTTAATATTAATTTGGGGCCTCCTGGCTGCGTGGCCCGTCTCGCACACTATTGCCCTCTTGTTGAATCCGAGCTGCTCTGTCCAGGGAATGCACTCCATCAGCACCTCCTGCGCTATGTAGTCAGGTTGAGAAAAATCGCGCGGGTATCGAGCTGGGCTTAGTTTTGTTGCAGACTTGCAAACCGGCTGCGAACTACTCCACTACAGTCGCAAACATCTCGCAAGTGTGTGGTAGACTTCGAGGAACCATAATTGGCGCATGCAGATTTTTCCAAACAGCCCGGCCTCGTCTGGGAAAAGATGCACGCAACTTGAGCACTTCAGAAAGCTGCAGTGATCACGCGTTACAAGTTCAGGATTTCCTGACCGACGGATGCCCGTGTTTCGATGGGGCAAGTCTCGAGAAGGAGAGTCCAAGTGTGTACTGATGCGGTGACAGGATTTTTGGCAACGCAAACCCGCGCAGGACTTTTGGAGCTTGGATGCCGCAGGATCCGCAGGTGGAACGGGGATCTGCAGGTGATTTCGCACCTTTGGAGAACGTCTGGGAGGCTTTGTGCTTGCTCTCGTGCCATAGAAGATTGGAGGAACGGGAGTAGCAACGGCATTGAAGCAACTAGCACAGCTATGTCGCAGACTCCTTTTCTCAAATTGAAACCCCTTGTCCTGCGAGCGTTGAGGGCGGCTTCAGATTTCCTGAACCGCGTCCAGTGCACGCTTGTGGCACTCTGCGGACTGCAGAGATGCTTGCTCTGCATGCATCCTGCAGGAAAAAGATGATAAATTCAATGCTCGTGCAAAAGGGATGACTCGTTGGAGCCTGTGCTCCCTTGCTCGTCCGCATTACCAGTAGAAAGCTGTTGCAGCCGTGTGAAAACCCGAATCCAATCCCAAGCACTGTACAACATTTGCATCAGACACATGGCCAACCAGATAGCTGCAGAGGCAAACCCTCTCACTTTGCTTTTCCTGCCGGATGATTCAACTGATTCTTGATTCGGTACTTGCCGCATCGCCTTTCTTTGCTGAGGTGCTGCGGGATTTCTTTCCCTGACAATTGCTGCAGACCATGGTGGCCCATGAACAGGGGCTCCACCGGATGCAGCACCAAAATCCTCTACCTTCCTCGGTTGAGACCAGCCTTTCCAAGCTTCTTTTTCTTCTTGATCTTCTTTTTCTTTGCCTGTGCATGAAAATGAAGAGCAACTGATTCTGCTCACCAAGAACCGAGCCGCTTGCTAAAAACGGATTGGACAGCAGGTCCCTCGGTTTCGGAGAGTCACACGGCGAACAGACGGATTATGTTGTTATTATGCTTGTCATGCCGAGCATAGCGCGGGCTGGTGTTCACGATGTAGATGCCGTTCAGGTGACCAGGCTGAGGCAAATGTTGGATGCGGATTCAACGCAGCTGCATGGAAGAGCTGCATCAAGCAGCTAACATGAAAGGTCTTGTGCAGTATAATGGCTCCGTTAGATTTACCATAACAAATGCGTGAACAAACGCACGTAGCAACTTGGCAGCAGGCATTGAGCTTGTGTGCGGGCATGACCAGGGCTCTTTCCAGGACTCCAACATTCACGGGATAGCTCCTGCCAACAAGCATTCATATCTTAGGTCTATGATCTAGGTCTACAAGTTGTGGGTCTGAGTTTTCGACTAGCTTGCGCCATGCTCATCCGTCAGTCCTTCGGGCGCAAACCCGCTTGATTTCCTCCACTTCTTGCAGCTGCTGGAAGCGTATCTGCAGGGGGCTGGATGCGTCTTAGTCGATCTTAGTCGGAGCCTTCAGGGCCAGCACTACTGGCCAGTTGGACTGTGAAGTGGTGTTTTCCGAGACTGCATTTATTAGCCCTTTGGGCTTTGGACTCTCTGCGCCTTGCGAAACTAAGGTACAACGGCTTGAATGGAAAGCAAGCAGCGGTCTCGTCATCTTTAGACACGGGGGCGGCTTTCCAACACTTGCCCGTCGGCATGCACAAGGGGTGGGCGTGTGGACGTGCGCGGCTGCGACGCTTGAAAAGTCGCTAATGATGTGCACGAACGGTCGAGTACGAAGTATGGCTTTCAGCTCCAGGCTCTGTTGTAACGATTCGCTTCTAAGCTGCCATCGCCTCGTCCAATGTCACGCCGGTCCCATCAGGCCTCGCACATCTCAGCTCGAAAGCGAGAGCCATCTCGGGTGTCTTCCAGCCAACGCAGCCAAGGTTCGGAGGAATGATCGGCGGATGCAAAGTACCCCACCTGACTTTAGATGTGCGGGAATATAGTCCCGAGTCCCGAGGTTGAGCCCACTGCCAGTCGCAGATACCCACCAAGACATCTGAGTCGTCCTGCGACAGACACTTAAGACGATTTCAGCTTGACCTTTGAAACGGAGATCCTCCATTCGAGGAACAGCTGCCCGGTCGTCATCTTGGGCAGCCTTAGTCGACTTAGTCGCCTTGCGAGATGGCAGCTCGACAGCTCAGGCGCTGGCATAAGGACTGAGCCTCGAGTGTCTTGGACATGGATCCAGCATGATCCAAAGCGCTACGTGTATCAGTAGGGCTCCCATCAAACTGTCGCATGCTGGAGACAGAGGGGCCCCCACATGACTGGGGTCGCTTTCTGTGCATGCGGTTCCTCCTCTTCCTCACCTGCAAGTCACCGTTGGCAAAGCAAACATGAAGAGACTCGTTGGACCCCTCGTCGCCTTCGTCCTCGTTCTCTTCATCGGACTTGGGCCGCTCCTTGCTTTCGAGCTTGGATCCGACAAGGCGCGAGACTTCGCTGGGCCAGGGGCGTCCTCGATCAAGTGCGCATGGATCCGCCGGAGGTGCGCAATCCTGCAGATGCGATCTCCAAAGACCCGTCAAAATGCGAAAGCGCTGAGCGTCCTCGAGTTCAAGGCCTTCGGCTTCTTCTCTTCAGCGAAACGAGCCGCAACCTTCAGGATCTGGGCCGAAGTGGCTGAGAAACAAAGAGGTGCAGCGAGCCTGAAAGGAGTAGCCCTTGGGTTGGGAGACATCCACCCGTACTGGCTCGCTCGGCCTCCAATTTCGCATGCCAAATCAAGCAATCCGAGACGGCTTCAGCCCGACTCTCAGTCCTGAGACACACCAGCACGAATTACGGCTGATATCGGCTGATTTACTGGTCCAGCTCACGAGGCACAATGACATGTCGCTGATCGACGGATGGTTTGGATATGTGCGGATGGTCTTGAATCCGTCCAGATGCAAAAACCAAACCTTATAAAGAACCATAATACATCCAGAGCGACCTGCGGAACGCTAAAGCTAATGTCTTGTTCACAACAACTTGGTTCTCCCCCTCTTCCCGCCATTCCCCGCCCCCTCGCACATTGTTGCTTTGCATCTCAAGTTTGGTACCGGTCCAAATCTTGGGTCCCAGTACAGGCCCATTGCTAATTAATGACTCTCCAAAAGAACCTGCTGGTTCTGCCACTGCCTTTTCGTTTGCTCTAAGCCTCTAAGCCTACTCCCCCCAGCATGTCAAACTGCGGATACTTGGTTGCACTCCTCGTTGCCTTTGCTTTTGCTATTTCATTTTGCATGGCCTGACTCTGAGTGTTCGCAGCCACTGATGTGAGTCTCGGAGGAGGCTTCTCTTGTCACAGCCATCATATACTATCGCCGTCCCTGTCCTTACCTTTGTAAATTCGCGGTTCTGCTTGTGCCGCGCTGATGTTGCTTGCATTTCCTATGAGTTTGACCGTGCTTGATCCTGACAATCAGACAAGCCTTATGCCTTGCTGTTCCTTTCAATGCTTCGTCTGTTTAGGGTTTGCCACTCCCACTGTACACTTTTTCTCGTGGATTGATGTCCCCGAGCCGACTCATGGTCTAACGTTTCAGAAGTCATTCCTTCTCCTTTTAGGGTCGCTGTGGCCACTTCTGTTGGGGCGTTAAGGGGCTTGTGCATCTTACCACTCGTTGGGACTAGGGGCTTAAGCGCTGAGTCTTTCGTTTTCGGGTTAAGATTTTGCCGCCGCTGCAGGTTCGTGGCTCGCTGCGCTGCTTCGGGTGCTGGTTTAGCAACCTCCGAGTTCTTGTCGAGATGCAAATCACCGTGAAGCTGAACATGAATATGGAAATAACGATGATGATGATGATGGTCATGGCATGTCATGGTCATGACGAAGTGAAGCAATGACTACAATTGCGCCACGGATTGGTCTGCCGAAGGAGAGCTGCCCTGCGCAAGCCTCCTGTGTTGACTTGCAACTCGCTGCACAACGTGACCTTCCACCTTGCCGTCAGTGGCGAGCATTGCTGAATCCAGGCATTGCCCCTGCACGACCTCGTCGTCAGCGACGGTGGCATCGATGTCCTCGCACTGGTTGTCTACTACGGGCCTCCCGCCACATGCCCTTTGCACAGGTCCTCAAGCGCATCTGCTGGCTCGCAGTACCGTCGTCGGTCAAGTGCCTCGGGCAGAAAAGTCGTCTGCCTCGTCCACCTGCTTGGGACTAGGGCCAGGACGCATTGAAAACGACTGGCCTTCGACAGACCGGATGAACCAAGTGAATGCATTCCTTTATGCTGCATCGCTGCACAAGCCTCTGCGTTCCTCGATATTTCTTCTTCCACGCGTGCACGGCCTTAACACGCAAGATGGAGAAGGATAGGAGCGACAACCCAGCCGCATCCCTGCAGGTTCAGGGCACTGTTTATGTGTCCTAAAATCCTAAGTCTGCCGAAGGCCGAAGGTCCAAGTACGTCGAGGTTCTGTTGCTTGCGATTCTGAGCCACTTTAGGTTGGGCTTTAGGTTTCTGTGGACCTCCTACCGGCATCGGCGTGACGTTTCAGCGTGTTCTTCATGCTGATGTGTCACCGAACCTGCATCAGCCGAAGCACCTCAACGCCCTGTGATCGAGGCACTCACAATCACTCAAACCTGCAAAGGCGGAGCTTCAAACTCGTGAGTCGTTAACGCATCGGCTTCAATCTGTGTCCCGGCGCTTTTCCCAAGATTCAATTCAATACATCTTGCTTTTCACTTCATGAAAAGCGCGATGTTCTGAGTTCCAGTCGCTCTGCCCAGTCACGAACAGCCGTGCGCTGCTCTTCCCCGACGACCTGCGCTTGCGACCAGAACGATCCAGGACACTCGGACGAACGAGCACGAGCTCATGCAAGTCCTTGTCTGTGATAGCACGGTTCCGCTTTGACAGCCAGCGCCTTGTCTGAAAGCTCCCACTTGGATAGAAACGTATCCATGTCTGAGGTGAGCACTTCTCCATCCTGTGCTCGGCTTCGGTTGCTGGATATGGCAGCGTATGATCTCGCAAGTCACAGGAAGCGAAGGGGCTTGCAAGGACTGCAGTGACCAGCGCGAGGATGCACTGAGGCATCAACAATCATCGTCGAGCTGAAGCGCGATCTCCCTTCTAGAGCAGCACCGGAGGGGTTCAAACCAACTGCTTCTTCAAGTTACTCGGCAGCAGACTCCTCAAGTGTTTGCGGCAGCCCAGCTACCTGTTGGCAACATGCAATGCACAAGAAATACCTTGTAGCCTCAGGGTCAATGATACTGGTGTAAGGTGAAGACTGTAGACGTGTTGGACGCCGCAGACTGTGGCCTGCTTTACGATCTGCAGGCCCTTTGCACCAAGCGACCTCTTGCAAGCGTGGCGCCTGCGCCGCCTGTCGAAGCTGCGTGGTGTCACCTTTTCCACTGGTGGAGGTGTCGTGAGCCGGATAGAACAGATGACAGAAAACACGCATGTTTGGTAGCATGAAGACATTCCACAGACGTTAACTTGATATGAAGTCTAGCTGGGGTCAGCGCAGCTCGACTTGTGGTAGTTTGACCCTGGCTCTCGAAGGTTTCCATCGATACACGTCTTGAAACGTCCAATTGGGCCGAGGCAAATTGCCACTTCGAGGCCCGCACGATGCTCATGGCCGATGTTGGCCGTGAGGCTGAGCGGGAGAAGCCAGTGGAATTAATTACACCAGTGACACAGTGACTAGCGAGCGACGCAGAATTGCAAAGAAACGGCCTGCAGCATGTGCAGGCGTCGGTGACCTGGCTGAGACCTTGAGAGACATGGTTCGGGATATGCGACATACATCTTTTATTCAGAGCATCTGGACTGAGGACGATTCCATTGACCGTGCGGTGAGGCCTGGCTACAATCAGGCAAGCAACGACGCAAAGGCAGCCGACCACACGGTGGCATCTACAAGGCAATTCCGCCACAAATTCACGACGAGGGCCTCCGCAAGTTGTGGATGGAGTGAGAGGCCGTTCCAGATCCACCTCTGCGCGATGCTCTAAGTCCTTCCAGCCATGATGGAGAAGTGCCACTGCTGCGACCCTGACACGCCGCAGTGCAATATGCACTGCTGAGAGCTACAGCCGTCCTTTAGTTTTCGCGCTGTAAGCGGTCGAACGAGCTGTCTGGTGCTGAATTCCTGCCACACTAAGTGCTGCATCGGATGCAACTTCAACGACATGCTTCTGGATAATGCGCCCTCCGGGAACATTGTATGTTAGTGTGCGTGTCTGCCTCTCTCCGTCGATGCTTCACTTCTGTCAGACAAGATTGTTCCCTTGCTGCCTTGAGGCGCTCCCTCGGCGAAGCCAGCTTCACCTAAGCTTGCCGTCTGCGAAAAGAGCTCTCCTGCCACGCTCTCCGAAACAAGCTCTGCATCCACCAACCTGGACAGCGTGACGACCAGCAACTGTCGGAAGCGCGGCCGAAAGTGCCTCTTCCAAGCATGTGTATGACTACCATCAGCTTAAGACATGTGGTGCCAGTCTCATCATGTCTTATCAGGTGCAGTGCACTCGCATTCATCTGGCGGTGTATACTTCATCCTGCTTGTTAATCCGGGTTTAGATGGAAGGGCTTCAACTCGTAGATGAGAGGTGTGGGTGCCGCTACCTTGACCAATACACTACGGCACTGCAGCATGCCACTTCTCGAAACAGCGCCACTTGGTTTACTTAAACCGTGACCTTGTCAAAGATTCTCACATGCCCGAAACCGAAACTCTGCAATCACTTTGGGCACAACTTCGCCTCGAACTTGGTGCTGTCATGGGAGGCAGACCGGCCGGGACGCTCCCTATCAAGGGCTTCTGGCACGAAGAATGCGGAACCTGGGGGAGCTGGGTGCCGCAGCACCTCTTCGGCACAGAAATCGTGGAAGCCTGGTCCTGTGGTACAGGAAGTCAGTGCGTGGTGTGCGGGTCTTCTTGCCTTCTGGTACCATCTGTACGCTTCATCGAGTTGCCTTTCGGCTGCATCAGGATTGGGGCTCATAGCCACGGAGTCAATAAGCTTTCGAAGTCCCTGACGGAAGTGTACCAGCCAAACAGCTTTGGTTTCGCTTGGATACTCGGATGTAGGATTTGAGGAAAGCGCTTCCTGCATCTCCAAGAGCCTGGGATCCTGTTGTACCCTGAGAAGTCTTTGCGCATTACCAGCATTCAGAGACGAGCTTTTTACAGCTGCACATCCTGCACGCCTCTTTGGCCTGGCAATGCTCAGCGGGTACTTGCCTGAACCCACTTGCTCCTCAACTGCTTTACGCTCCTCTTGAGCCTGATATAGTCTTGAAGCCACGTCTTCCAGCTGCAAGTCCACCGGAAGGTCTTGCACCATCCACGGAAGGTTCACATCTGGACCACGGTAGCTGCTAATTGGCAGAGATACGCCAGTCTTCGCCATACCGGCCATGAGCGAACGGGAGCCGGGTCCAACCTGTATGGTGTTGATTTGATAAGCACGATTTTCCCCTGTTTGTTCCGTGTTGCGGATACCAGCTGCTGACGTGATGCGGCTCCATCTCGTGTGGCGTGGGGCAGGCGCGAGCACAGTTTTTGCGCTCCATGCCCCTTGAACCGCAAGGAGGGTGGTGTGGAGTTGAATGACGTTCGTCGCACTCCGAACACGAATCTCCAAAATAAACTGTGTAAGATAGGTTTGCGACAATGACATGCAACGTGCGGAGCCTGAGATGTTGCTGGTTAAGGGCCTTGTAGGCTCTGCCCACACGACAAAGGTTCCCGACAAACAGAGTCCCGAACGGGTCCGAACGGCTAAACTGATCCCTAAGTCCCAACCTACCTGGCCGATGATTTCGCAAATCTAGGAACACACATGTACATATATATATATACATCACACCTCCGCAACCAGTGCCATGTTGACACAACACTTTTCTTGCAAGTGAAGTCCCACAATCTGTCTAAAGGCCCCTACCATCGCTTCACTGGCCCGCCTGACAGATGAAAGGAGTTGTTGGGACAACTACGGGAAAGCTCGTCGATGAAGTCCGCGGCATCGTTGACCGGACGAGCCAGCCAGTGCAGTCCGGGAAACTGGTTAAGGGTCTCTGTGTCACCAGTGATTGCCTTTTCCAACTGGTTAAACCTCGGCCTTTCCGAAGGATCAATCCGCCACAAAGCATTGATGAAGAATCTCAACTCCTCGGGAAACTGCGGGTAATATCCACAACTGACGATTTTTCGCCATAGGTCCTCATTGCTTGTTCCTGAGACGTCATCCCAGCTTGCAACCCCACCTCCGGAGCTGAAGGCTGGAAGCTTCCCATGCAAGTAGAAGGCGATGACTCCCACACTCCAAACGTCAGACCATTCACAGTCGTAAGCACGGCCTCCCGAAACCTCTGGTGCATTGAAAGCTGGTGTCCCGTATGGATTCGTTGTGGTAGCCCGTGCAAGTGTCAGCGCGGAGGGCGGGCTCGGTGATCCTGTTTCTCTCACTCGCTTTGCGTGGCCCATGTCTATGATGACAATACGGCCTTGCTCATTGATAAGCAGGTTTTCCTGAGCTCAAGCAAATCGACACGACAATGCACGCATTTGTCGCGATGGTGTGAATGCTGCGAATCCCTCATCCTCATGCTGCAACCTTTCACCGATTGAAGATGTGGCTACTCAATCTACTTAAGTGCAGACGAACCCCACAGGCACGAAAGGCACTGCACAGTAACATCGGCGGAACCCTGCACGCTCCAGACAACGGCCTGCATTATCGCCCGCAAGCGCCCTTAACCGTCATCCGAAAGGGCTCCTGCGTGGGATTGGTCGGGACAGGTGTGAGCCACCTCAGCACCACTTTCCCTTTCTACCGCACATAACTGTCAACAAGGAGGATCCGCTCCAAATCAGACGTGAAGCTTTGTGGAAAAGCAGCACAGTTGATGCCGGAGGACTGTGATGGGAGAGGCCCCGCGAAGATGGAACAGGAGACGGAAGCCCTAACGCCCTAACATGCTCCCTTGGCCAGGCAGTGTACGGATGAATTCTGGTCTAGGCTCTGGCTTCAGATCTCGATGAGTCACTCCATATCTGTAGCATTCAGCCATACCACTGATGACGTCATGCAAAATCCGTCTGGAAGTGCCCTCACTTAAAGGCTTTCCAGCAACAGAAGGTTCCGGCGAAGCCAAAACATCGAAGAGCTCACCGTTTGGAATGTGCTCCATGAATATTATGTGGTGAGCTGGCGAGAGAATCTCATGCACGTCTAAGACGATCATCTCATACCTGGTCGAAGATTCAGATGACGAGGTGCTACGAGTAGGTCGCTTGCAGATCATGCGCTGAACTCATCAGAGCAGCTTGATGAAGTTGTCGTGGATGACAAGCTGGCGTGGAAGTTCTTGCACCAGCTTTACTTCCATGGAGTCGAACTTGTTGCAGAACTTAGCCTAAACCAGATAGAATGTCTGGAAGGCTCCAATGCCAAACATACAGGCCTTGCTTGCGTCGTTTGCTCTCCAGTTCACTTAGTTCTTTTTGCCAAGATGCTGCGAATTTCTCCCCGGTTGCAGTCCTGCAATGTGTACGCATGCCGATGAGTTGGATAAACGAAAAGAACTGGCTTTTGCGCGGTCCTCGTAACCAGGTAAGTCTGCCCTTCCGCCCCGTAATTCCTGAGCTTCTGAAAAGCATCGAGGCATGCAGACAGATGCAGGCAGTAAGCACGTTTCCAACTTGCAAGCAAGATGCAGGAACTTGTCGACCTGGCCGTGTCAATTGCCGTGGCACTTGCAGCATCAAAGCTGGGCGCTTCTGAGGCCAAGGCAGACCACTCCTGTGCTCCAATCTCCAACGTGGTGCGACCATACCAAACCTTACCGTCCACACAGCTCCGGAAGGGCTGCAAATGCAACATCTAGGCCTAGGCAACCACGCAGTCATAATTTGCAGATCCGTTGGCACGGTCAGGAGCTGGTGTGAGTCCATCGAAGTTTAGGTCTGACCGACTCTTGATCACAAGATCACCTCAGCTTCAAAGATCTCACAGAGAGAACTTCCTAGATACTCAAGACGCCGAGACACAGCCTCGGAAGACCGGGATGCCGCCAGCCGAGGCGCTCCTGGGCTCAGAGCGACGCCAAGCGAAGCCCTCTCACGGCCAACCCGGAGAAGTCCTGAAGAGCGGGGGAGGCGGCGGTGGTGGTGCCCCATCTGCCATTCTCGCTACCCAGAAAGATATCGAAACCCCCCCGACAGGACACAGAACAGCGATCTGGTTTTCTGTCCGTGGTCTTCGGCCACAAGCTGAGCAAGCACATGATTTGTGAGAGGCGTCGGCTACAGAGTCTTAGTGAAAGCCACGCAGCTGATGCTCTTGACACAGGTGAATTCAGCAGAAAGCTTGCACACTGCGCTTGCGCTCTCACAAGACTCATGCTGCACCTGATTTGCACCACGCTTTTTAATGGCCCCGCCCCGCTCAGCCACCATGCTCAGCCACGCGCTCACGTGTCTAGTTGGCTGTGGGTTCTGGCGGAGGCAGTGCCGGCAGGTAGTAGGGCATCGGCGGTGGCTCGTCCTGTCCCGGATTTCAAGTCTGCCTACATAGCCTGAGACATTTGTCAAGGCGTAGTTCGTGATGGTCCTTCTCCGAAACCAGAGGTTCCTGTGGTTTGGGTAATCGCATCGCGTTCAGGCGCTGTAAAAGAAGCACCTCGGCTAATGCTTCGCTTGATGCCTTCTTGCGGATTGTACATCTCGCCATGTCTAACACAGCTCAAGTTGACGTTCTAGGCGCCGTGCTAATGCCCATCCCCAGAGCCTGACACGTACTTGCCGGACGTTGACAAGCTCATTGCCACTGGCAGTTTCCAGCAACGATATCGCATGGCGAGGCTACAGTGACACCGGTTGACTTTAGGCCCACACACAAAGGCTGCCACGATGCATGCTGCCGCCACTCCTGCGCAGACAGATCTTGTCGAAGAAAAGGTGGCAGAACACGATCGTTTGCTTGGCAGCAGGCTCCAGCGTGTCAGACTAGTTGATGAAACGGCACCCACCAGCCTCCTATGAGCTTCGCTTTGATTGATCGGGGTCTGCCCTTTCCAGCGTCGCTCAAGACGGACAGAGTTGGCACAGTGCATTTGCTGAGCCCAACACTTGCCGCCGTTGGCGACGGGCTACACGCTGGCCTTCCAGCACACGACCCGACAGCCTCTTACCCCTTACTCTTCTTTGACCTAGTTACGGTCCCCGAGTTGAATGCAAGTCCGGCTGTGGTGTTGACCGCTGGCATTGAGGACTTGGGGGCGAGGGATGCTGGGAGCGGGATTTAGTCTTTAGCTTGAGCAACAACGCATGCCCATCCGTGGTGGTGGTGATGGTGGTGGTGGTTGCGGTTGTTGCAGTTGCTCCTGCTGTTGTTGCTGGTGGCGGTGGTGGTGGGCGGTGGTGTGATCGTAGTCGCAGTCGTAGTCGCGGTCGTCGTAGTCGCAGTCGTAGCAGTAGCAGGAGTAGTAGTAGCAGTACTGGTAGAGTAGTAGTAGTAGTAGTAGTAGTAGTAGTAATAGTAGTAATAAGAATAGTAGTAATAGTAGAGAAAGTGTAGCAGGAGTAGTAGTAGAAGAAGTAGTAGGAGTAGGAGAAGTAGTAGGAGTAGGAGAAGTAGTAGTAGTAGTAGTAGTAGTAGTAGTAGTAGTGGTAGTAGTAGTAGTAGTAGTAGTAGTAGTAGTAGTACTAGTAGCAGTAGTAGAGTAGTAGAAATCGTCGTAGTAATCGTAGTAGTAGTAGTAGTAGTAGTAGCGGTAGTAGTAGTAGTAGTAGCACCAGCAGCAGGAGTAGTAGTAGTAGTAGTAGTAGTAGTAGTAGTAGTAGTACGCCGCAGCAGCAGCAGAAGCAGCAGAAGCAGCAGCAGCAGCAGGAGTAGTAGTAGTAGCAGTAGTAGTAGTAGTAGTAGTAGTAGTAGTATAGTAGTATAGTAGTATAGTCGTATAGTAGTATAGTAGTATACTAGTATACTAGTAGTAGTCGTCGTCGTCGCCGTGGTGGTAGTGGTAATTAGCGGTGGTGATAGCAGAAGTAGTAGTAGCAGTAGTAGTAGTAGTAGTAGTAGTAGCAGCAGCAGCAGTAGTAGTAGCAGCAATAGTAGTAGTAGTAGTAGTAGTAGTAGTCGTTGTAGTAGTAGTAGTAGTAGTAGTAGTAGTAGTAGTAATAGTAGCAGTAGTAGCAGCAGGAGTAGGAATAGGAGTAGGAGTAGGAGTAGGAGTAGGAGTAGGAGTAGGAGTAGGAGTAGGAGAAGTATGCAGTTGTCGTGGCCGTCACAGTGGCTGTGGCAATGGCTGTGGCAGTCTGACAGCAGTGGTCGTAGCAGCAGTCGCAGCAGCAGTAGGAGTAGGAGTAGCACTTCAGTAACCGTAGCAGTAGCAGTAGCAGCAGTAGTAGCAGTAGCAGTAGCAGTAGCAGATAGTAGCAGCAGTAACTCAGCAGTAGTAGCAGCAGGAGCAGTAGTAGTAGCAGTGGTAGTGGTAGTGGTAGTGGTGGTAGTAGTACTAGTCGTAGTCGTAGTCGTAGTAATCGTAGTAGTAGTTGTAGTAGTAGTAGCAGTAGTCGTAGTAGTAGCAGTAGTAGTAGTAGTAGTAGTAGTAGTAGTAGTAGGCCGGGTACCAAACCCTGAACAACCGTGGACTCTCTTGCAATCTTGGGAACGTATTCTACGATTTGCCCGTTGTTTGCA